GCTGGGCCAGGCTGTCCCTCCAGGGCTCCTGGCTGCGGAAGTGATCCCCATGTGCAAGACATGTCCTTTTCATCCGAGAGACTGCAGCCCCTCATTTTCCATCTTTACTAGTACAGGACAACCAAGGGGAGACCCAGAGAGTCAGACAGGACATTGGTATGTAGGATGCCAAACAGCTCAAATGACAAGCAGAAGAAATACTTTCCTTAGCTTATGTGGCAACATGGAGTCACAAATTGGATTGTTTGAATCAAAAGCATTTTGAAAATGATGATGTCAAGACCATTTACGTATTTTGATTTAACCTCAGAAAGCTTTATACTCATCTCCTGCACCTCCATCTACCTCCTCAGCTTCTTGACCGCTGGATGTTCAAATGCAATCAACATTTTTGAGTTGAAAACTGAAGTGGAGGAGGGAGAGAAAGAAGAAGGTATATTTAAAAGTAGCCGTAGACCAGGATAACCGGGTTCAACTCTGTCATAAAGAAGGAAAAGTGAATGGAAGGTCCCACTCTGCACTTGAGTTTGGAGGGCTGGGCTTAATTGAGAGCAGAAATAGAAACACATTTGTTCATTTGGCTTTGACTGTCTGCCAGTCAGCATGTCCATGGCTTCCTTAGTGTCTGTGCGTCATGCATTTCGTGTCTCAAGTTTTCCCTCCACCCCAAATGCAGAAATATTTGAGAAGATTCAACAGATGTGGTTCTATCTCTGCTTCTCTTTGTTATTTAAATTAGGGAGGAAAGCAAAATTTTAGGGAAATGGTTCTAATTAGCAAATGAAATAACAACATCTTATACTTGCACACCAGTAGGTCTGAAATTGATTTGCAAATAGGAATTTGTTAATTCTTTCAATGTTTCCTAAGATATGGTTGTGGAAAATGTTATTCTGCTTTTAAATGGAGAAGCAGGCCCTGTGAGAAGCAAGTGGCCGTATAGTAAAGAACACTCTTGGAGAAACAACCACTTCAACTCCTTGTAAACATCACCCAGAACGAAAACCAGAACGAGGCTGCGTCTTCACAAATTGTCCGAGCCCAGATGTGGCAATGTTAACCCAGAACCTTCTTGTTGTGACTTCCAGATGACTCAAAACACCAGCATCTTTATCACTGGAGTGTTGCTGCTGTTCTTGGACAGATCAGAGGCTCCTGCCGCATGGGTGGGGCTGTGTCGAAGGGAAATGGCCATCACCCAACTCATGAGCCTTCGGGATGGGGCTGCCACAAACTGAACCATGAGCCTGAAAGTGCAGAGAAGAGAGGGCAGGTCCAGAGGGGCTGGTGAGGATCGGATGTGCTGGTTCTTGCCCTTCAGAGCAACAGGTACTGGGGACACCGAGTGATGGCCTGAAAAGACATGTCACATCTTAGCACCCAGAACCTGTGAGTGTGACCCTATTGGAAACCGTGTCTTTGCAGATGTGTTAAGGATCTCAAGTTGAGATTATCCTGGGTTATTCAGGTGGGACCTAACTCCAAGTACAAATGTCTTAGCAAGAGCAGAGAGGAGAAACCAGAGAGATGCGGAGAAGGCCACAAGCAGATGAAACAAGGATATTTACCCATGGGCCAAGGAGTGTCTGGAGCCACCGGAAGCTCGAGGGGCAAGGGAAGATGCTCTCCAGCACATCAGAGGGAGCAGAGACCTGCAGTACCTTAGCTGGGACTCCTGGCCTCCAGAACTGTGGAACAATACATTTCTGTTGTCTGAAGCCACTAAGTGTCACGGAAGCTGGGAACTCAGCATATATCCTGCACAGAGAACACAGGTGGATAAGGTGAAAAGAGCCTGTGTCACCTTCTAAGGCCCTTCAGGCCTGGAGGGAGAGGTGGGAGGGCTAGAGGACAGCAGGCCCCTTGCCAAGGAGCATTCAGGGCTGTCTACCAGGGCTGTCATCCTGATGGTCTGCCCTGCTCACTTTGATGGCGAGGACAAACACCTCCAACAGGGAGGCTTGGAGGAGGCCCCCTTCATGGTCCAGACAGGGGCCCAGGATGTCAGCTGCCCCAGAGAGCAGAACACAGGCTTGCTCACTTTAACATCCCAGAATTTAGGATCTGGACTCCTGGCCAGGAAATCTGAGACTTCTGAGCTGCTCCTGGGCACAGATGACCTACAGCCCCTTTAAAAATACATAACTAAAGGTGCTTGCTTTGGCAGCACATATACTAAAATACATAACTAAAGGTTGACTGCAGTCTTGCATTTCAAACTTAAGTATGTGAACGTGAATTCAAGCTCCTGTCTCAGCCATTTTACCTTTAACAGCATGAGGAATCCAGCAACTAAAAAAAGTTGGGGGAGATATCCTGGTCCTATCAGAGGGTTTGCTAGAACTCTAAGGATCTCTAAGGAGGACCACCCTCCTAGCAGGAGGAAGATCTCATGCCTGATCCAATCAGCAGGCAGGCACCTGACGCTAGAAGACTTGTGCCTTCAGCAGAGGCCCTGAGTCCCACAGTGGGGAGTCAGTGGGGTAAAGGGTGGAACCCACCTGTCTGAATCACAGTAGTTCTGGAGGTTTGAGTTCATAGCTTTAATGGTCACTGAAAAGTGTTTCTGGATTAGGTATAGTTTGTAATATGGACTAGAAGAACATGGTAAGACATACACCAGTATAAAAAGCACACTTGGTCTTTTAAAATAAGGATAGGGTCTAAATCAAATGATGATTGGAAAATATGACTGTTAGATTTTTTAAAATCCTCCATAGATGAGCTCAGTGGGGAATGCAAGTGAAACAAGCAATGAACTTAGAATAATAGAAATGAATCAATCTGAACAAAAGAGAGAAAATAGAAGAAAAAACAAGCAGGGATATATGAAATTATAAGCAAAGATCCAACAGTTACGTCCTCAAAGTCTCAGAGAAAAATAAAGGAAACTTCTAAAAAAGTGTCCAGAGAAATAATAGCTAGAAATTTCCCATGTTGGCAAAGGATATAAACCAAGGAAACTGAATAAACCAAAAATAGGATAAACTCAAGAACCCCTTCCCAAAACGCATTACAATAAAACTCCAGGAATTAAAAGACAAAGTAAAAATCTAGAAATCAGCGACAAGAAACCAGGCCTTGCCCAGGGAAAGCAACGAGAGTGCCAGCAGCTATCTCGACAAAACTATGGCTTTTGGGAGGAAGTGGAACAACGCTTTCCCAATGCTGCAGGCGATGTCGGCCTTGAATTCCACAGTTAGCAAAGTCCTTTAAAACTGAAATGAAAATTAAAATGTACTTAGATGAACAGTTTTGATTTGCTGTTGAATCTTGTTGCTCTGACAGCCTGGATGGAGACTCATCTTCCAGGAAAGAATGCACCATTAACATTAACTCCACCTTCCTCAAGGAAGGGCCAGGTGAACCATCAACCTGTGAACCAGGTTGTACCGTCATGGCATTTTTGTTGCCAGGTAGGACTCCCAGGGCAGAGTGAGGAAAGGGACTGTGGGAAAGGGTGTACTGCCTTGGTCCAGAAGGGGCGGAGCATGCCAGCCTCTTTCCTGGACTCTGAGCACAGCCCCTGCCTGGCTTCCCCCTATTCTGAGAGCCACCTGAATGCTCTGCTGGAGTTTGCAAGTGGGAGAAAGAGCAGAGCCCAGGAATGTCCACCTCTCCTGAAGCAGTGCCCATAGCAGCATCTCTGCCTTACCCCAAATCTTCAGAATTGGTGAACTCTGGAGCCAACATTTAAATCCAAAAGCCTAAGGGGAATGGCCCAAGCTCTCAGCTTAGCCAGCTGCACTGTGGACTTGCTACACTGCTGATATCCTCTTCCTTGCTCCCTTACCTTTTGACTGGGGGTCCACTCTGAGCCTTGGTGGTGAGATTTGTGTGGGCTCCCACCCCTGGGGGGCATCAGCCCTTATCTGACACGTGGCACTTACTCCTGCATGAGTAATCCCACTGCCCTGGACTCGAATGGTTTGGGGAAAGTTTTGTTGGAACATGGAAGTGGATGGACATGTCCTGTGCCACCAAAATGATAACTCCAGGACAAGGGTAGGTACATATCTGATGCCGCTGGCATCTCCCAGGGAGCGTTTTCTCACTCCAGCTCAGAGGTCACTCCCAGCTCCAGAAATCTGCGGCTCTGAGCAGGTTAAGTCATCAAGTCTTGCTGATGCTGCCACCTAGCAGCTCGCCTGGCCCCAGCAGGGCATTCCAAGGAAGCCCCGGGTCCAGGCCCTGAGAGGGTGGGTTCAGAGTGCACAGAGCACTGTGGGGCTTTAGAGGTCCACAGCCACAGGGACAGGGCTTAAATACAGACACACCCACTCCCCCCCACACACACACAGGTGGCTCCTCCTCCTCCCCTCAGCAGTGAGAGAGCCTTGGAGGACTACTTCCAACCGGGACCTTCTGCCCTACCAAACATCCCTGACCACAGTGTCCAGCCGCCTTTCCCTTTGGTCCCTTTGGCATCTTGCAGATAATATTCCTCTTACAAGAGCCACCTAGACGGTCAGCCACTGCTCAGAGATGCCACGCCTGTGAGAACGAGCCAGGCATCACTGCAGTTCAGAAGGTCCATTGGACAAGAGGCAGAGACAACAGTGGGCCCTGCACAGTGATGTGACTTGGGACCCACACGCACCGATACAAGGCCAGGTTACCCTTGATTACCTAGACACATGGATTTGTCTCTCTAAAACAAGTCAAATACCGACTTGTTCGCCATTCTTGTTTATTCTTCCAGGTTTCTAGATTGTTCTTATCTGTTTCAAATAGCAAGACTGCTATCTGTTTGAAGGCTCTTTCATTTTCATTATGCAACAAAGCTAACAGGTCCACTCTCGAGGTCCATAGAATTACCATATTTATTCCTCGAGTTACTGGGTCTGCTCCAATGCCCTGAAAGATGCAGCCAGGGGACCCTCTGCTCATCACACACAGGGCACTGTCCCCTCCATGTTAATAGTCCTCTTGGTGCCCTGACTGACAGAGTACTTTGAATTAACTAATCGTTTGATTTTGTCCTAAATGTCTTTTCATAGGTAAGAGCAATAACATGGGTGGAAGGAGCCTTTTAGGAACTTCTGGAGGAAGCTGGTATGATTGTTTTGAGCAGGAAAAACTTCTAAATTCTTCAAACAACAAAATTAACTTCAAACCTCACAACATATTAGGTAATCTGTTTGTCTCTCTGGTATTTTAGTGTCATGTTGAAGAGCCAGCAGTTGTTTCTGAGGAGGAAAAATAGACCATCCCCTTTCAATTAGGTCACAAGTACTTTAATTTTACAATTACTTGTTTTATCACCTACTTCCACACTGGTTTTGATAGTGTGCATTTTTTTAAAAAGTTTTTATCCTGACGTTAATAATGGCAGGTCCAGAGGCAGGTGAGGGGATTTCCTGAGAACAATCGTGGTAGATGTTCAAGACAGTGGGCACCCAGCTGCCTGCACAGGGAACGCAGGACATGGTTTCTCGTCCATTGCGCATCACCCCTGAGCCAGCAGGATTTGGGGAGAGGTCTCTAGCAGAGAGGACACGGGAACAGGGAGGACAAATGATGACAACCATCAGGTTTTACTAGGCAGGCACGCGGTCCCACCTGATTTCTCCTTTCAGATGTGCCGCCCCTAAATGGTGCAACCCTATAAATATCCCTCCATAATTGTGGGAGGAAGACACAGTGGTGAGCGGTGGTCTGCGGTGGAGTGGAATTCCCCCACCCCAATGCAGAGCAGTCCCGCGGAGTCCTCCCGCTTTCAAGTGGGCCCCTCATGGATCTCAAAGCAGCCCATTATCTCTGCTTTTTATCTACAGATGGAAATAGGAGCCACGCACACTAAATTAGCTCCATAAATAAATGCGAGCTCTAATTGCCCAGCCGGCCCATTCTCTGGCCCCTTTCATCTGGGAAGTGGCTGGCCAGGCACAGAAACCTTGTTGTGTTTTCTGCCATCGGGGAAGTGGGGTGGTGGCCTCCAGCCACTCTCCCGGTGGAGAAATATTTACTTTGGACTAATTGGGCCTCCTTGGCAGCCTCAGCGTGTGGTCAAAAGTGCCTGAGTTGCCACTGGGTCCTCTGGGGAAAGGGGAGAAGGTGGCAGACAGCCTGGGCAAGGCGCAGAGCTCAGGGATTCGCCTTGCGTTTGTTCTTCAGAACCTTATACCAAACAGCTGTCCAGGGCGCAGACCGTGCCCAAAGCCGCTCCCCGGCTGTCTCCTGGAGGCCACTCCTGACCTGGGACAGCCGGCAGAGGCATCCTTGGAGTCAAAGGATTCCCTTCCTATCAGGTGTTTTGTGTTTTTCAGGCAATCATTCATCACTTTGTGCTTATGAAGCAGTCACATGTAGGATAAAAAACTTGGGAAATACAACAAAAATGTCAAGGAGATGATGGAAGTGCCCCGAAATCCACCACTCGGAGACGACCACCCCACACACCACACCGTTTAGAAGCCCTGACCCTCTCCAGAAGGCTGGAACCTAACTGGTGTTCTTACTTAACATTGCCCCATGCACATTTTCCGATGTTTCTAAAAGTCTTAGGAAATAGTTTATACTGGTGGTGTAAGATTTCATCACTTGATTTTCCATTATTTGTTTGAAGACAAATGTTTGATGACGGGTGTGGTGGTTATTTCCCGATTTCATTGTTATAAATGAGGTGAACATCTCCTCACATACATCATTGTCTCATTTTTTATCATTTCCTCGAAGTGGGTGAGTCAGCGAGGTGATTCCAGGCAAAGGTGCTGGGCGTTTGACCGTTTTAGTAGTTGGCTCCTGAGGCAGCCTGCCGGTGTACAGCCCGTCCTACTCCTCGTCTGCGGCAGCACTTATGGCTCCCCTGCTGACCCGCCCTGGGAATTAACATTTTAAAAACTACCTCTCATGACTTGGATCCAAATTTCCTTGACCACGAATAACATCACTATTTCAAATTTACTCATAGTTTACTCATACTGCATTTGTGCTATTATTATTTTTGAATTAACTCATTAATCTTAGTAATAAAGTAGACAGTAGGTTTTTCTAAATAACTAACCAATACATGAACTCCATGTACTTCTACGGCCCCCAGGCCCACTGCCTTGAGATGCTAATGGGATCCCTGCCCCTCTCCCCCTCTCTGGCTTATCCGTTCTCTTCTGTCCTGGCCATCCTCCGACCGGTATGGACCAGCACAGCGACAGTGGACAGCATTCTGGCCTCGCCAGTGAGATGCTCTCTGTCCCCCGCCTTTCCTTTATTTCTGGTCTTTTTTCTTATCTCTTGAAGCTTTTAAGATTTTCTCCTTGCCCTTGATATTTTGCATTTTGCTATGTTCTGACTTCCCATGAATTTGCTTTACTTTATCCTGCAAGGACTTGAGGGTATTTCTAAATCAGAGTACTCGTGTATCCATCTTCAATTCTGGGAAAGTTTTGGGCATTATCACTACAGATGCTGCCTATTCCCTGCCTCACTATTCCCTATTGCTCTCTTTCTAGACCTGTTAGAAGTGTACATGCGCGTCTTTTTTGTTCTGTCCCTTAACCTCTGGTTTGTATTTCAGCTTCTGTATGTCTGTGCTGTATGCTGATGAGTTTTCAAATTGTTTTCCAGTGCACTATTTCTCTCTTTAGCTGAATCTTATCTACTACTGGAGTTTGTTTTTTTCATTTGGAACTTTTCACATCTTATTCTTGTTTCATAGCTGCTTGCTCTTGTTTTAAGGATTTTTATGACATGAATGAACACATCCTTCTGAGATCCACATGTCAAACTCACCGGAGGTGATGATGGGAAGCAGTGGGGTCCTGTGCCCCAGAGAACTGCCCTTGCTCCCTCTCTGCAGCGCGCAAGGGCACAGCCTTCTGCCCTCTGCTGAGTGAGAACACAGAGCTTCTGCCTCCTGGAGGACACAGGAGGAAGGGACCAAGACAAGGACTCTGCCCTTCCCTTCGCTCTTTGGATGTTTAGGTATTTTCAGGGTGGAGTTCCATCCAGGTTATCCCACAGTGCCAGCCCCTCGGCAGGAGCCCCTCCACCTGGACCAGTGGGCTTTGTACTGCGCTGTGGCTGGGTCCTCTCAGCAGCCGCCCCTCCACCCTGGTGTCTCCCAGCCGAGAGCAGACCTGCGATGAGCTTGGGCTTCATATCTAGCTTCCGGTTCTTTTAAGGGGGTTTGTTTCCAGGCCATAACGTGGAGCCAAGACTTTTCTGTGTGTGTTCCTGCACTGTGCAGAGCTTCCCGGACTCACTTCCTACACTCAGACACGAGGAGGAATTCCAGGTTCTTCTGCTCTTCATCACCTGGTACCTCTGCTGCTATGAACCTCCAACCCGGTGTAGGCAACACGACCACTGCTTGCGCCTGGGCTTCCTCCTCCGCAGCGCCCGCGGGTCGGGATTTCCCTCCTCGCTTGTGTCTTGGCTCCGTATGTCATGTGTACAGGGCTCGTTCCAAGTGTCCGGAGCAGACCCAGGCAGAACGCAGGACTCCAGTCTCTGCTCTGACCGTACGTCCACCAACCGTGGGTCCACAGTGTGCTGCAGTGCCCGCCTGGGCCGGTCCTTTCTCCTCTTCTCTCCCATTCTTTCTTTTCCTGCCCCTGCCTCTCCATACATTCCTTTTCTTTCCTCATTTGTTGAACCCATTTTCACACAACTTCTTCCAAATGCACATACATTTGTGAAGTTAGAGAAGTCTCATAGGAATTTTAATGTGAGTGAATTTAGAGGGAATTTGCATTTTTACAATAGTTTTCTTGTCTGGGAACAGGACGTAACCATAGGTTTCATGCTCGCTCCTTTGTCGTCTCCTCCATGCTGCTTCTCCCTCTCCCTTCTCCCCTCCTGCCATCAGAATTGACCAACACTCTGGGTAACAGGTGCTGAGTCCTCCTGGCTGCAAACCCAGGTGTCTTCATGGAGCCTGGGGGGGTTCTGTCTTCTTTTTTTTAGAAGTTACCATTTTTCCTGGGTCTGCTCATCATCCTCTTCCTCTTGATCTAACGTTCTCTCTCACTCTCATCATCTTTCTTATTTTCATTCTGCATTTTGAGATGATGATTCAAAGCTGGGTTTCTGCACCATAAATTCTGTTTTCTGCGTAAGGAATTCGGCTTCACCACCTCGGCAGACGCTGAGCCTGCAGGCCCACGGGGTCCCCTCGCCTCCCTCCACGCTGCCCTGTCTGACCCCGAGCCCACAGAAGTGGGCGGGAGCAGGCGCTGGCCCGGCCTCCACCTGTTCCCTCACAGCCCCTCTCACCTGGGGGGCAGCACATCAGGCCCCCATCGCAGTGTCCAGTCCCTCCTTTGGCACCAGGCTGTCACAAGCCCCGTGTCTCCTCCATCAGCCCCTGCCCACCTCGGTGTCCAGAGGCCGCAGCGTGACCCAGCCTCAGGACAGCAGTCTGGCCACACAAGTGTCTCTGCACCTGGCGTCTGCTGGAGGGTGGTGAGAAGCAGTTCTGTCCTCTCTTGTTCAGGCATCTCACTTTTGTTTGGGTTTTCTTCCTCAGTAATCGTCATCACTTTTATTTCTTATTAATCTGCACATGTTTCCTAGTCAGTGTCTGCAGCTCATGGTGATCGCATCCCTCACGGGAGCTGGGCCCTTGAAGGTGACACCCTTGGCTCTTCATCCCGCACCCTGCTGCCCCACAGCCCTCGGGCTGCCCTTCTCCCTGGTGCTCCTTCCCCACTCCTGGGCTCACACCTTTGTTCTTGCTCCCCGTAGAAAGGGAGGTAAGAAGCCCGTCATTGGAACACAGGCCAAAACTGTGGCTAACTTGAGTTTTCTGAACATTATCCAGGGAAGGGGCTCGGTGTGTTACTTAGGAGAGGACAGAGGAACAGGCCTGCTCCCTTCGAGTGATGGGCTCGCTGGGGTGTTGCTGTCTCTCTTCGATTGCACCCAGAAATCTTCAGGGGCTCATGTTACAGGGAAGGAAGGGATGTAACTGAGGACATCATTAGCTCCAGGCCTCGGGATCCCACTCCCTGGATCAACTCCCCTGCTGGCTGCACTGGCCACCTGTAGTTGTCTGTGTCTTGCTGGGCTCAGGAGCAGTAACCATCTCCACTTTAAGGCACACAGGAAACAGTCCCCATTTACCTGCAGGGCCGGCTGTCTCACACTGCAACCCTAGTGCAGCGGCCCCTGGCGGGAAGGCGCATGGGCACTGCCGAGACAAGCAGGGATGAGTGGTGCCCTGGCAGCAGCTGGCTTCCTCCAAGCCCAAGGAGGGGTAGGCACAGCAGAGGCCTGACTGAGGTCTGCAGACACAGAACAAACCCGGCCTTGGGATTTCCCAGGCACACCCACCACCTTCGAGTGGGCGCTCATTTCCCACCCAAATTGCAAGACAAGCAAACAAGTAAAACACCACGGATTCCCTGGCGCCTTTGGCGAGTTGCTATAAAGTCCCTTCAGCAGAGCTCAAGGGTTCTGAGCACCTGCTCTGAGCCGGGGGCGTCGTGCCACACTGGAACTGGAACTGGACCCGGTATCGGGCAGCGCAGGGTTCCAGGAAGCATCAGACTCCAAACTGGCCAGGCTCCAGCAGCTTCTATCCAATGGTGTGCCCTGCAGAACCCAATATGCTGCCAATGTGATGTTCACAGTTGCTACTACTGTTCAGAGGCAGTGACAAAAGCAGTGTCAGTAGATGTTCAACACAGACTCAGTTGGGGTTTTCTGAATATTTTAACTCACACTTAGTAGACTCTGTGAACATAGAGCCCTGGAATACAGAGGGTCAATCACATAAGCTCTTACATGACTGCATGGAGTGTGGATCTTTTTCCTGTTTCATTTATTCTGCATCCTCAACTTGAAACTGCATCAACACACAGTTTGCCTAATACTCCATGCTGAACACTGGACACTTCTGCTCAGGATCAGGACAAAGCAAGGACTCCAGCATTTGTCCCTCCTCCTCAGCATAGGGCTGAACGTCGTGGCCAGAAAAAAAATAGGCATAAATAGATGAATAAATAACACCCACATTAGAAAGGAAGAAGTAAAATAGGCTCAGGGTGGCTGCTCCCAGGCACCCCTTGGCCCTGAGTCCTTGCAGGAGCTGGACCGGTCAGCTCCTACGGTCCTGCTGGGCAGCATCTCTGTCACTTGGTTTTCTCCTCTGCACAGCGAGATTTCTGTACGTTTGTTAGAACCGAGGATCATGTGCATATTTGGCAGGTACACTGCTGTGGAGCCACAGTGAGATTTTTAGGGAAAACAACAGTGAATAATAGAAGGCAAGGGGCATAATATTTGGTTTCATCTATCATTTTGATTTACTTCTCCTACACTACAAATTTGTCATCTCTCTACTACAAAAGCAATGTGTAGCTGTTGAGGAAATACAGATTACTTCTCTTTCAAGAAGACCCCTCAGAGTCTCAGCTCCAGAGGTGTCCACTGCCCACATCTGGGCACCCACCTTCCCCTGTGAGCCTCAGAGAGCAGCTCCCTTCCCTGCGGGGACATTGGGGACCCAAGACCCAGGAGACGTCTGAGACTGTGGAGTGTCACACCCTAGGTAGGTACTATGTTTCTTCCTGTACATGCAAGCCTATGATACCCTTTAATTTATGAATCAGGTACAGTGAGAGGTTTGAAACAATAGCTAATAATAAAATACAACTGTAACGATCAACTGTAGTCAGAATTAGGTAAACGCCCCCCTATCATACTGGGCAAAGCAAACAGGTCCGGATCTGTAGCTGGATGGGGGCCCCACCCTGCCCTAGCATCCATGGGA